CTGCTTTTGTCTCAGTGTCTCACACAAATAACTTGATTGGTTATATGGAGGAATTATTTGACCATGCCCATGCTATCCCAGGTTCTTAACTCAATGGCTGGCTGATTGACATAATTTATATTCTTCATTCTAATTTCAGAAAATAAAGTAGGAAGAAACAATACAGCTCCAATAAAAATTCATAAAGCAAAGCAAATAACACAATAAAATAAAACAGCAGGCGTCCTTCCAAATAAACTGTAAAATGAAAGCTGACAACTCATTTCATCTTTTTGAAAAAATAAATAAATAAATAACCTAATTACAAGTATAATCTATTTCCATCAGCTAGAATGGACCATAAGTGCACTTAACCCCTAATAAAATCAACAACGATTTAAGTGCATCTTAAGTCCCTTCGACAGCCCTACGATTTAAGTTTGTCTAATCTCTAGCTAGTATTCCAAGCGTTATGTGACTTTCGAAGCATGAATAATATATAATAGTGCTTGCAAGTTTTATTTCTCTTTCTTTTTAACGTGACCAATGTTAATATTCAAGTCAGTGAAACCTTATCTTTATAGTATGGCTTTCCCTGGAATCCTCAACCTTTGGTCTTTTGTGAAATGTCAGTTTCAATAGCTTCATTTAGAGTCCTTACATAGTAATGCAAAACTGCCCGTGTTTCAGAATTTCTTGGTGTGTGAGGCCTGAAATATTCAAGGCAAGCACAGAGAGTTTAAATGCATTCTGTACATTTCTTCCCCAACTTGTGATCTGTGGCTCAAGCTTAAGTTAATGAAGTTCTGTTTGAAGAATCTCAAAGAGAACAGGTATTTTAGTTTTATAGTCAACTATATTTTTCTGTCCAAATTCATATTAATATCGTAAGCTCTTATGGATTAGGAGTTTTGAAAAGAAAGGCATAGGACATTTTGCGAAGCACCACAAATTACTGTTATTAGGGGCAGAAGTTGTACTTATACTCCAGTTTTTCTCTCTTAAAAGAGACTCAAAGCAGTCAATGGTGCAATATGCAATTTAAAATCTAATGCATATAAGGACTAGTATAGAAACATAGGACTTTTAGAAATAAATAGTTAAGGCTAGATAAATCATCAAAACCCTATTAAAACACATATAGGAATATTATTTATTTATTTATTTACTTACTTACTTACTTACTTACTTACTTCATTTCTGCCTGGCCTTTCTTGACCCGAGAGGGGACTCAAGGCGGCTTACAAATCTGGCAAAATTCAATGCCGCACAGGTAATTTTAAAAATATAAACTATCTAAGCATATAAGTTATAAAAAAACTATCTAAGCATATAAGCAATTAAAACTCATAAAAACCTAGAAAAGCAGATTAAAAACCACATATGGAATTCCAAGTCATGATCTCATGTCCAAATCATTTTCCAAAATCCATAGACCATTATTCAAGCTGTTAAAGTCTCATTCTGTAGTTTCCTATGTCAATGGGAACCATTGATTTAAGATCTACCACCTCATCACACAGGGGTAAATTTGCCTCATGATACTCTTCTGCAACGGAGTCTGACAAGCTCTATCACATGATACAGGTTGTGGCCCTGCCCCATTGATAGCCCAGAACAATCTTCCCAGGGTGTCCACGTGAATCCGTAATGATCTAATCAGCAGGCCACCAACCGGTTGTTTTCCACTGTTTTCCCTCCATGTAACTGCAGAGATGCACTGCAAAACATATGCAGAGTGCAAGATTTTTTTAAAAAAAAATAAAATGTTTTAAGTTTTAAAATGCAGTTGTGCACTGGTGCTGTTCACACTAGCATATCACATTGAAATCTTGCAAAGTCTTGTGTTTTCCTCATGCCTGGAATATAATGGACTCCGTTGAGGCAGACACGGGTTTTCCCCATTAAATGCGGTTCCACCTGGATTATGGATGTGCATTGCTTGACTCCCCCCCCCCTATAATCCACTTCAATGTGGATTATAAGGTCTGTCTAGAGGAGGCTTATATGTCTTTCAGCACTGTACCGATATTCTCAGTTGTCTTGGCAAACATTCAAAGGGGGATTCAATTGAGCATGTGAGTAGAGAGAGGATTCAATACCCATCTGCTTTATTTTTGCTCTCTTCATGGGGGTGGGGATGTGGGAAGAGTATTGAAAGGAAGATATTGTGGGGTATTCTTTGATATTCTGTGTTATATGGCTGTGTGGAAGAGCCCTGAGTCTTGCTTTTCAAAATAGGCTCAGGTAAAAGCAAACTGCTGAAGTATCTCCTAACGTATACAGATCAATACCTTTTGCCATCTTATTCACTCCCTGGTGTTGCTTGACCACACATACCCTGTTTTTCAGCTCTGCAATGTTGATGAAATTGGTAGCCAGTGAAAGACAGGTCTTCTTTTCAGGGTATAGTCTCTGCATGAGAAGAACACAAAGGGGCAGGCTCCCTCTGTACATGAATGTATGTTAACACCTTTTTGAAAACCTGGATAAAGCAAATGATGGCAGTGCTCTGCCAGTACCATTTCCTTCCCCTTTAATAGCAAAAGAAGTGTTGAATGGTTGTTTTTGTTCTGTACAGGAGCCATTACTTACAACTCATATCAGGGATTATGTTGCTTTGTCTCTGACCTAAAAAGAATTGTATGTTATCCTCCCTTTCCCTGTCCTGCTAGATGATGTGGAACACAGAGCTATACTACCTGAAATGAGCACTCCAGCATTTTTGCCACTGCTATAATGTCTTTTCATCCCAAGAAAGAACTATTTTAGAACTTCTCATCAGAAATAGAAGAAAAGAAATCTTCACAAAAAATAGGAATCTCTTCCACTGGACCATCTAGTTCAATATTGTCTAACCTGCCTAACAGTAGATTTATTTATTTACTTACTTTGTTTTATATCCCGCCCTTTCTTCCTCGTAGAGGGACTCAGAGCAGCTATAAATCTTCAACAATTTGATGCCGTTCAAACATAACACAATATTAACTTAAAATACAAAAACATCACACATGCAAAAATTAAAACAAAAATACATAACAAGACAGTATATTTAGGGTCACAAATCAAAGGGTTCCCCCCGCTCTCCCAAAGATAAATTTGGAGATACCAAACAGATTGAATCAGGTTGTTCTGCATGCAAAACATAAGCTCTATCCTAAACAAAGGGTATGAGCCTTTTGTTTATTATGTCCTTGCAAATTATTTCCAATATAGTTGATCTATTGAGTTAGAATACTAGAGGGTTTCAGGGGAGGGTGTTGCCAGTTTTTGATAACTTTTTCCAATTCAGGAATTATAATCTACAGCCATTTTGAAAATTGCATTGTAAAGTGCGAAATTCAACTATTATGTCATACAAAAATCCCTCTAATGCCTTTTGCTATTACTGCTGCTAAAAAAAGCTCTTGTGCAGGGCAAAAATTTCACAGAGCTTGATTTTTTTCCAGTGGTATGTTTCAGTATGTCACTGCACCTTTCCTTATCAAGGACAACAAAATTATTGAATATTCTTTATAGTCCTAACTATGAGGCCTCTCTGAAACAACCCTGTTGCATCTAATTAACAGTGAAAAATAAAGCAGCTTTCACTTTACCTGGGCAAGTCGGCAAGCCACTTCTCTATTTAATACATTTCTGTAATAACACTGTATTCTTGTTAAGGATAGTAGTAATAATAATAACAACAACATTCATAACTTTATTTTTATATCCCGCTTCCATCTCCCCAAAGGGACTTGGGGTGGCTTACAAAGGGACAAGCCCAAGGAATACAGATTAAAAACAAGCACAGAGAATACAATCAACAACAAAAATCAATAAAACATCATAATCGGACAGCATCATAAAAACAGTATCAAGAACAACAAATGTTGGGTTCACGGTCATAATTCCTAAGTGCAATAATTCCTACATAAATTGCGAGAAAGGATTGGCATGATGTGCTTTTAAATTTCTTTCATTTCAAACTTTTCCCCAACTTTTCTACTAAACAAGGTTTTTCTAACCAGGCTACACTACATTTTTATGCAGGGAAACTAAACTTTTTGAAACATGATCCCAATTTCACAGATCAACTACATTCCTACAAAAGTTTGCACACTTTCGCGTTTTCCAGAATTCTTTGTGAGGTTTGGTTGTAATTAAAAAAAATAGAAAGAAAAATGAAGACTAGAGCGATAAAGGTACAAAATGTTGGTAGATGGTTTGAATCATTATTTCTGTAATTTAACACAGTTCCTATTATGATGAATGCAAACTGGTTGAGTCACTGGTTGGTGTATAACTATTGCCTGACACTTAGCAAGTCCTGGTGGGATGTATATAAAATGGTGAGTCCCGATCAATGTAAATACAAGGCTGATAACAGATCAGCTATAATTTCACTTAGGAAAATGCATATTTTTCATCTTGAAGCATGATATGTACAATTGGAACAAGTTATTTCAAAATTAGCAACACTGGTAATAATGGGTACTCGGGTGAGTGAACCATTATGTGTCTTTTACAATGGCGGTGCTCTTTGTTTCCTGTCATTAATGGTCCCTCTTCCTTCTCTCATAATGAGTTCTCAGAGGTGTGCTAATGAACAGCGGCCATGGCTAGGCAGCCTGTGTGTGTCATGTCATTTCTCTTTTGTCTACCCGCTTTGCTTCCTGTTGCGCTAAACAATGGTCACTGTGGATAATTTAATTAATTGAGACACACAAATCTAAAATGGAGATTTGGATGCGCACAGATCAAAAATTCAGAGCTCTCACAGGGACTGAAATACCTTGTGCTCTGCCATAGTTTGAATTGCATAGACATCCATACCTGTTATCCACCTTTTGCAGTGCAGCAGCTATGAAATGATTTTGAGTCATCCCATCATTCGCAGCATTGCCATAGTGCCTGCAAAACAACATCCCACAGAAACGTGCTGTCAAGTAGCTCCTCTTCAGCCATAAAACAACCTCGGGTATCTGTGAAGTGTTTCAATAATGCTTCTTCCCCACCATCCCTTTCTCTCTTCCCCCTAGGATATAATTGGAAAAGCACTGCGGTATATTGGAACATATGGAGAGCTCAGTAATACGGAACAAGTTGTGGCTCTGATTGATGAGGAAATGTGTATCAACTGTGGCAAATGCTACATGACCTGTAATGATTCTGGCTACCAGGTAAGAGCACAGCTGTAATTAGCAAAGAGACACTGTGAGTTATCTTTTGGCTGCTGCGGCAGAAGGAATCCACTGTCTGTTGATGGGCATGTGGGAAAAGGAGATTTACAAGATACTGGAAATTAACACTGGCACACTCCCAGGTATAGACTACCTGAACCATGTCTGATCCATTTGTGGAGATTGTCAATAAAGCCGGTTTCTTAGAGACTTGAGATTCACAGAGCAGCACTCCAAGCATCCTTCCTGTCCTGTTTTCTTACTTCACAGCACCTACTGCTGAACTGCCATGTTTTTCCTAACATAATATGCTGCAGATAATGCTAAAGACAAAATCATGTTGGAGTGAAAGTATTACTTTGCAATGCCATGGTGCCCTTTAAATTTACTTAAATTAAATGAAACTCTGGTGTCTTTAATGGATATAGCCATAGGATTGTCATCTATAATGATAGAAAGGAGTCTTTAACTTCTACTCTCCACTTTTTAGAATATGATATCAATCATATTTATTTATTTAGAACATTTATATCCTGTCCTGTTCTCAACCTCCGAGGAGGGACTCAGGGTGGCTACCAGCAGGCAACAAATAGATGCCAATAGAATATAAACACAGCAATAAAATACCTAATTACATAAAATTATTATAAATATACATTAAAAACATTCACCAGGTTTAAAACATCCTCCAAATCAGTCCAAATTACGGTCCATAAAATATCAACTTCACCCATAATTAAAACTAGTGATTGATTTCAGAATGGCACAACCCTTCCAAACCTGATAGAAATGTCATTTACTCGTATGTTGGATGTATTTTGATAGAATTGTACATATAATACGATATTAAGAAATGTGAGGCACACCCACAAAAAAAATTAAGTATCAAAACACTCACCTATGACTTCTCATTAAAGTTCAGTAAACCTTGCAAATCTCCCAAAGTCATCTTCATGTTCAGCATAAGCAGCAAAGTGTACTGGTTGTGTGAATCCAAAGAGACCATTCTGCCTTAAATTAAAGAGAGCCAGATGGCCTGTCGCCATTGTGGGAGGGGAAGCGAGCTGGGAGGAAGACTGAGAATTCTGGGAAATGAAGATAGGTAAGATGAGGACCCCCGTGGCAGAGAGTTCCAAAGGTCCTGCCCTAAACTACATTTCCCAAAATTCTGCTTGCATCAGAAAGCCCCAATGAGGTAGGGGAGAGCTATTGTCTGTCTGTAGCAGCAGCGAGCCACGTAGTTTAGAGTTCCAATTAATTATTGAATCAGAGAGGACTGATAGTAAATCTGTGTTGGGCTGTTTGCCCTATAGAGACATTCAAGGGGATAGCTGTTGTGGCTTTTTCTTTTTTAAAAAAAGGTTCTTGCAAAAAGTTTTTTAAAATCCTAAAAATGAGTGGGTGAGTGAAACATTCTGAAATTTTGGGAGGGGGAAGTAACAGTGGTAAATGTGTTCTACAATTGTAGCAAGTTTCATCCCATTAGATGTAACAATGAGGGAGAAATGAAACCCTGAAGTTTTCCCATTGGCACAATTGCTTAACGAAAAAGTAACAAAAATATTATATCGTAATAGCTATGATATGGACTCTGTATGATATTTTAGAAATGCTTTAGAAATTATTCTCTCTTCCCCCTCCCACAATTTAGTAATGAGTATTGAAACTTTTTTTCATTGATTGCACAGGCCTTGTGTCTATTTTCTGTAGCAATTCCATTTTCACCCTCACTACTTAATCAGGATCATGACACCACTGCCAGGATCAGAAAGCCATTTCCCAACTGCTTTTCTGGGCATGTGCTGCATAAGGAAAAGGTGGTCCATTCTGCTTGCAATTAGAACATGGGTGATGTTTCCATCAGATTTGGGATAGGAGTCAGACCAATAGAGGTTACTTGGTTAAGTACAGGTTACTTAACTAAATGTAACAAGTTTATTTGGCTAAGTTGCTGATTCAGAACACTGGCCATAGGATTCGTGATACAAGCATAATTCTTTGTTCTTTTTGCTGTATTTCCTTTTTGGGGAGGACAAACTACATTCAAAACGGATGTAGAAAAAGCCATAAGTAGCTAGCTCAGGAGCGTAGCATTTCCACTTTTCCATTATTCTCAGTAGGTATAAATCATACCTCTGATAGCTTTATATG